AGTGCAATGGCACCCAGGCTGTCCCAATAAAGAGGGGTAGGTCCTTGCTGCTCCTCCCCCAATTCAGCCAGCAAACGCCGCTGCCACACAATCTCCCGTACGGCACGAAAGAGTGCCATGTACTCGGACTCCACCGTGCTCAATGCTTGGTCCACCTGCTTCTAGGGTCCGCAGTGTCGTCGGCTTCACCACAGGAGCAAACAACTTCTGATACCCCTTGGATACAAGCCTAGACTTGTAGCGCTCGATCTTGCCATCGGCGTCAGACTTGATCTTGAAGAGCCACTTGGACGTAATCGCCTTACGCCCCTCCGGTAGCTCCACCAATTCCCACGTGTCGTTCTCCTCAATGCTCTTCAGCTCACTCTCCATGGCCTTCTTCCACTCCTCAGCATCACTACTCTCCAAGGCCTCCTTGAGAGTTGCTGGTTCTCCTGGCATCTCCATCGGAGAGAAAAACACGAACGCACATTCCTCGTACTCACTTTCCTCATCATCTCCGACCATCATTGCCGCTCCGGCCAGGGCTGACTTGCCCTGCTTTCCCGGTGCATCATAGGTCAGCCTATTAGGGGCTTGAACTCTCCTATTGCCCCTTCCTTCCTCCTCAGCTGCAGGGACATGAAGGCCTTGGCGTTGCTGCGGGGTGACTCGGATCCGTGGAGCACTCGTAGCGCGTGAAGGAAGTGTCAGTGCACGCTCGCTCACTTGCTGCACCTCCTCCAGCAGCTCCAAGCTTCAGGGGGCCCACCACCTCCATCACCACCTCATCAAGTGGTGCCTTAGCCATTGCCTCCGAACTAGAGAACGGGTAACGGGTGAACTTGGCGTGCATGCACGTCGGGTAGCCAAGTACCTCATCGAGCTCCCCCTTCATACGTATGCCAGCAACCATCTCATTCTTCACTAGCTGCTGCAAGATGGGCAAGGCCACATGCCCCATGCGCCGATGCAAGGTGAGCCAATCACACTCCCCCGTAGCCGAAGTCGGATTGGAGAATGCCGCGCTCGCAATAGCGCCCCACATGCTCTCTCTGTACTCCTCCTCCGCTGCTGCCTCGGGGTTCTCCTCACCCTTCTGCTGCTTCTTAGCTGCTGCACCACTCTCCTTGTGTTCCCCAAGCTTGATGGTCCCTCCAAGATTGCATGTCTTGGACTCATTCTCCTTAGCGCGACCGTTCGTGCCATCGCCGCTACCAACCGCTTCAGGGATGGGGACCACAGGGATCTGCCACATCTCGTTGTAGACATCCCTATCCTCGTGAAGGTCCCAAAGAATTCGCTCGCCAATCCTTGCGGTGTAGGTCTTGGCTCCCTTCGAGCTCGTGTCCATGCCGGCCTTTTGCAACCGCCGCACGGAAATCAGGTTCGCAGCAAGGTTGGGCACCCAAAGCACGTTCTTGAGGCCCACCATCTTCCCATCAGCACCCTTGAACATGGCCTTGCCCATGCCTTTCACCTCTGCTCGCTGCCCCAAGGCCGATGTGACATGCTTCACCGGTGACGATTCGAGTTCGGTGAGCAAGTCCGCACGAGGTGTCATGCTATAGGTAGCGCCGCTATCGACCACCCAATAGTCCAGGGAGTGTAGGGTCACCTTCCCCACAGCTGCTGGCTCCTCAAAGCCTTCATCCTTCTCTGGATCAGCCGGTGCTTGCGTCGAGACGTAGAAGAATTGACCCGGAAAGCGATCGTCCCTCGACTCGCTCTCGTTGCCGTCACTCTTCATATTTGCAGCACCACCTCCGCGACCGCCACGGCCTCCACGGCCTCTTCCTCTCCCGCCTCCTGCTCCTCTACCCTCTTGGCCTTGAGCAGGGGTCCATCCATCTGGGAGCTTGTAGCAATCGCGCCACATGTGTCCGCTCTTGTGGCAATAGTGGCACTCGCCGTCGAATCGGACGCGACCGCGTCCGTAACTCTTGTCGTCGCTGCCGTATCCGCCATTTTCGCGGCCTCCACTGAAGTTTCTGCCACCGAACCTTCCTCCCCCTCGTCCTCGTCCACGGCCGTACCCACGGCCGATGCTTGCTGCCCCGGCGCCATCCGAACCCGCCAACTCACGGCGGCGGAAATCCTCTTGAAGGACAGCTCGCTTCACGTCTTCAAGCGAGAGGCGGGGCAGATCACGGTTGAGGTTGATGATGAGGGAGGACCATGACTCAGGGAGTAGGGCCAGCAACTTGGTCTTCTTCTGGAGCTCACTGTAATTCAAATCAGCTCCCTCAAGCCGCGTCAACAAGTCGAAGAATTTATGCACCCCTTCTTCCACGGGTTCATCTTCTTCAATTCGTACTGTCGACATTTGCCGTTCCAATATCACTGCTACCGCCGCTGTTGCAGGAGCGTGTACACCCTTGAGAGCAGCCCATGCCTTTGGTCACTTCTCTGGTTCATGCTGGAATGGCTTGATGTGACGGATTTGGCTGCTCCCCAACGCTTGCCCAAGTAGGAGATAGCCTTGTGCGCTCTTCCGCACCCACGGGCTCTTCTCCGGGTCGTTCTCGGGGCGCTTCTCCGTTCCTTCCATCACCTCCAGCAGGTCATAGTGGTCAAACACGTTCTCCATTCTGAATGACCATTCAGCAAAGTTATCGCCGTTGAACTTGTCAAGCCCGAACACTCTTGGTTCATCCCTAGAAGGTCCAAGAGTAGGTTGCACGGGCGCCATGGCTGAATCATGGGGTTGACTTTGTGCTTGGGATCCTCCACTGCCTCCAGCACCTCTGTCACCCTTTTCTTCAGGTCCAGCCATCGTCGTAGCTGCTCCAAGGCGCTCTGATACTACTTGTTATAGTCACAATAGGCTCAAATGTGCCTAAAACGAAAGATAGAGTGCACAGTCGGATTTCTGCACAGCGGCTTCAAACGTTCATATCGATCTCATTCAAATTGGATCTGGAGCGTCTTAACGTCGCCTACACTATGCAATTTAGATCGCACGATTTCACCAAGTATTGACGACATAGCGGCGGTTTGAACGAACGGCACTACGGCAGCCACTATAGTCTTAGAACACAAATTAGGAAGAGTTACGAGTTGGGAATGACTCCCAGCTCCTACAAACCCCAAGAGCCGAGGTACAGTGATGTGGAACAGTGCCACAATGTCCCCAACCTCGAAGGGTCTCGAAACTACCATTCACAAGGGCCTACACCAAGTGAAATGTTACACTACACAAACTAATGTAACTATTCTCAATATCTTGAGGTGTACCCTTTTCGCGGGCTTCGCGATCACTTGAATCTTGAAACCAAGGCTCTGGTTCTTCACCATCAGGGGCTATTTTTGGTTTTAGCACACCCTTAAGTATCAGGGTGTTAGGGTGACATCACCCTGACTGCCAGGATGGTTTTTCCTCCACCCTGTCCACACAAGGGTAAATGTTATCGCACACTGATTGTGTAAGGGTGTTTTCTAGAAATTTGCCAAAGTACCGTACCTTGTTTAGGGTGTAGCGTGTACTGTTATGGCCATACTATAACTTCTGGCCTGATACGATAGCGAGTCTTCGTCATCCTCGTCTCGAGTTCTACGCGTGAGTCACAGGTGTGTGTTGAACAGAGGTGAATGACCTGAGACAATTGAAACTGCCTTTCAAGAAACATACGAAGTCTCACAATACAACACAGATGGTGTGCATGAGGTAGGAGGAGCCACAGGCAGGCAGGCAGGCACGTCCGCAACAAGACAACAAAGTGCTAGCAGCCAAAGCTGCCGCCAGTTCTAATGGGAAAGCTAGGAAGAAAAAAGCAGAACCGTCCACCTTGACAGCACATGTGGTCGGTGGGCGGAATGCTTTGTTTTGAGTACAGTTACGCGAGAAACTCCAGAAACAATGATTCGGTAAAAGGGTACTTTTCAACCAACACTGACTGGAACGTGTAACAAAACACCAACCCTGACTAGAACACGGTGTAAAAATTGCTACACTTTTTGGGAAAGGGTTGCAAATCAGCTGGTCTTACAAAATCAGGGTAAACGTAAAAAAACAGCTTTCAGAAAGGGGAATCAGGGCAAATCACCCTGTTCTTGATGGGTCTGCTGCACACACATGCGACACGCCGAACGTTCCACACACGACAAAATAGAAACCGTGCACGAGACACACGACAAAATAGAAACCGCGCACGGGACACAAACGACCGCGTGACACGCGACTAGCGATAACTCGCTATTGACTCGACACACACATTCGACATCATGACTCAACATTCACACACTATTATAAGCATGAAATATATATTATCCCATGCCCTCATACCATTCCATGCACATACGCATGCACGCACACGGACAACAAGCCGAGTGCAAACCGTAGGGTTGCACCAACAATTATCTCGCCCGCAAGCGAGCTGCGGATATTGACCACCTTTCTTAAGGGGGGGTGGGAGGGGTGGGGGGGGGGGGGGTAGTGTAAGGAATTTTCCCGAATTCCTTATCGGGCTTGACTGCTACGCGTACAACCCCGATGTTCGGACTTCGCACGTTCGGCCGACATCCACGATGCCGAGGCTGCCCCGCGTCATCTTTGGTCTTTCGATCGCCAAACCTGCACCCAACCTCGTTTCCCCGAGGATCCCTCCTAGCTAGGGTAGCCACTATATTAGCACGTGCCTTCATTGTATTGTCACTTGATTGAGTCGCAGCTTCTTTATTCGTTTTCCGCGCAACTCTGTTTTACAACTCATAACAAGAGCTGCATGCATAACTGCACTGAAATGCAAACACATTGATAATACCAACACAAAAACAAACAAGACACCATCACAGAAATAGCACCAATTGCTAAATTTCAAGACCAACCTACCAAGCCAGACAAATCTGAATTACGCAGGTGCCTCCTCCTCATACATGGCTACCACAGTGCAACTATAAGCAACCAATGAAAGCGAATCACAACTATGTAACTTATCCAAATGAGGTGCCTAAGTTTGCTGCTGCTTTACGCACTGAACCTCCAACACGGGAGAAGCGGTGGCGTGGCAGGGTACGGAAAGCTAGAGCCAGGAAAAGGGAATGAGGTTGGCGATGGAGGAGAAGGGGGCGAGGAAGGTGTTGGGGTAGTACATGGCGACCTGGGCAGCGTCCGTCACGATGCCTGGCGTTGCCCATGCTATGCGCGGCCCCACAGACCCCGGCCCACTGTTGCCTTGCTCGATGAAAGTAGAAGTGCTGTACACTATACCGCCCCAGTCCAGCCAGCCACTTGTATTCAGCTGAGGGGAGGGCAAGCAAAAACAGCAAGTGCAGTGTGGGGATGAGGGTTGAGGACGTGCAATGATCGTGGCATGGCAGAATAGGAGACCGCAGAACAAAGAGGGGAATCGAGGGAGGGAGAGGAGAGCGTACCACATTGCTGATTGTGGTGTTGATAATGGCCACTCGCGCGTAGGGCTTCCAGGGGCGGCCGAGGTACGTCTTGTTGACGAGGTCGCCTTTGATGACGGAGTTGAGGATCACGATGCCCGTGTTCTCCGTGTAGTTGGTTCGCCCCGACGCCGTGAGTGGCGCGTTGGTGTGTGGGCGGATGTCAAACGTGCAGTTGTCCAGGACAGCCGCGCCGTTGCCAAAGACAAAGTCCACCGACCCGTTCACATAGCAGTTGCGGTAGTACTGCCGCCCGCCGTGCACGTAGAGCGTGTCCTGCCATCCAATGAACTCGCACTCATACAGGGCACCGTTGTCGCCCGTCAGCCTGAATGCCACTGCCTGGTTCCCAGCCTTTCCTGCCGTGTTCTCAAAGCGAATGCCGATGGCCACGAAGCCACTACCGTCCACAGCTGAGGAGGATAAGAGGGGGGGGAGGAGTGGGGATAAGGGGCAAAGGAGAGTTGGAGAGGGACGGAGAAAGACAGGGAAAGGTGGGAAGAGACAGCACAACAGCACGGAGCAATTCAGAAGGTGCAGGCAGAATAAGCGCTAACAGCAACATGCAGAGCAGGTGCGGCGGTGGAAGGAGAGGAGCGAGGGGCGTCGCTTACCAACAGTGGGAGTCTGGAAGGTGCCGGTGCCGGCAGTGGCGTTGTCATACCACGAGATCACAGTGGAGGCGGCGCCGGTCCCCAGCAACGTGACATTCTTGCAGGTGGAGTTAACGAGCACCTTCTCACGGTAAAAGCCCGGCTGGATAAACACCACATAGCGCCCCTTGAACCCCTTCGGGTAAGCCGTGACCGCAGCCTGCTCGGCCCAGGGGAGCACAGACAAGGCACACACAGACATGTCAGGGGCGAGAACAGCACCAACGTATTGTTAGGGAAAATCCCCCTCTCCTGAGGATAAGCAGACAGTCGCACACACCCTCTCACACGCACCTGAATGGTGAGGAAATTCCCTGAACCGTCCTGTGCCACGGTGACCGTGGGGGTGATGCGCGGAGCGGGCGGTGGGGGAGGCGGCGGAGGAGATGGGGGCGGGGAAGGGGGAGGGGAGGGAGGTGGCGGAGGAGGGGATGGAGGCGGCGAGGGAGGGGGAGGGGAAGGGGGAGGAGGTGAAGGAGGGGGAGGGGAAGGCGGAGGGGGAGACGGAGGGGGAGGCGAAGGGGGAGGGGGAGAAGGAGGAGGGGAAGGAGGGGGGGGAGAAGGAGGAGGGGGAGAGGGAGGGGGAGAAGGAGGCGGAGAAGGGGGAGGGGAGGGTGGCGGGGGAGGGCTGGGGCCGCCAGGGTGCATCCAGCCGGTGGTGTTGAAGGGCACGCCAGGGACCCCAGCAGTGTTGTTGGCTGAGGTGGGGCTGCCGCCGCCAGGCATGATGCCGGGATTGCCAGGAGTGGTGCCGGGATTGCCGGTAGTGCTGGTTTCGGGGATGGAGTTGTGCGGGTCTGCCACCGTGATGGCACCGGCTGTGCCTGTACCAGTGACGGTGGCTTGCAGCAGGCGGCGGCGAGTGGGCGAGGGCACGGCGGCAGCGGCAGCGCTGTCGTCGCCTGCTGCGATCATGGCCGCCATGTCCGCTCCTCGCCCCAGCGCCTCCATCACCGACGCACGAGCTTCCATCGCTGCCTCCTGCACGCAACAACGCACGTGCCGCCGCCAAAGCCGCGTGTGCCAAGTCATGAGTACCTTACAATAATTTCGGAACGGCAATCGCCGAATGGATAAGCTTTCCAGCGCGCGGTAATCTGGGCAACGGATGGTGGGCGAGAGAGCAGGCAAGGGAGCAGGGAGAGCGAGGCACGCCCGTGGCGGCGCCATACCATGCCGTTCCACCACGGCGCTCATGCCGTGCGAAGGGAGCTCGGATCCTGGGAGGCACGCACCTGGAGCGCCTTGACGCGCGGGTCGCGGGAGCTGCCCGGCGCGAAGAGGTCGAATCCCTCGGCGCAGTCGAGCGCGAGCGTGACGGCGTTGGAGAGGTGGATGCGCGGCAGATTCACGTCCTCGCCGCCGCTCGAGATCATCCCCGCTGCCTCCTCCACGCTCTCCGCCACCAACGCCATCTGCCACCCCACGCCGCACACCACGCGAGCGTTAGAAACCACGGGCCACATAGAACTCGAACATGAGTGTGTCGGCGACACAGTGGCACTGTCATCTAGAGCAAAGGCATGTGCACGCGATAGGAGCAGAATCTGGAAGCATCAAGTTTGAACTGAAATTGGTCGTCTCACCTGATCCACGCAGCTGCGCGCCAGGCCGGACCAAGCCTCCCCGTCCGTTGCATTCTCCAGCGCCGAAGCGAGGAAATGCGCCTCGGCCGCCTTGGCCTTGCCAGCCGCCATGTGCGTCTGGGCTTCGCGCCCCTTCAGTTGGAACTTGGCGGCCCGCCACACCACCAAGTCCCGCATGCGCACTCCCGACGATGGCTCCGCGCGACTCCCGCCGCCATGCGCCACGGCGGCATCCGGCTGACTAGCGTCGGTGGGCCTTTGGTTGGCGTCTGCGCCTGCGCCTGCTCCTGCGCCTGAGCTTGCGCCTTCTCCTGCGCTTGCGCCTGCGCCTGCGCCTGCCCCTGCGCCTGCGCCTGCGCCTGCGCCTGCTCCTCCGCCTTCGCCTGCGCCTGCGCTTGCGCCTGCTCCTTCGCCTGCGCCTGCGCCTGCGCTTGCGCCTGCTCCTTCGCCTGCGCCTGCGCCTGCGCTTGCACCTGCTCCTGCGCCGGCGTTAGCGGGTCCTTCGCCAGAGCCTGCGCCAGCGTCCGGGGGTCCTTGGTTGGCGCCTCCGCCGCCTGCGTTGCCGGTAGGCCCTTGGTTTGTCGCTCCACCAACTCCGCCGTTGGCGCTTGCTTCGCCTGCGTCGGACGGGGTGCCTTGCCCGACGCCTGCACCATCTGCGCCGGTGTTGGCGGGTCCTTGGCTGGCACCTGCGCCACCAGCGCCACTGGCGCCAGTGGGTCCGCCGCCTGCGCCGGCGTCGGGGGGGGCTTGGTTAGCGGAAGCGCCTGCGCTGCCTGCACCACCGCCAGTGGGGCCTTGGTCTGTCGCTCCGCCGCTGCCTCCACCGTTGGCGGGTGCTTCGCCTGCGCCGTTTGCGCCGCCTGCGCCGGCACTGGCGTCGGTGGGTCCTTGCCCGACGTCTGTGCCGCCTGCGCCCGAGCTGGCCTGCTCGATCAGCGAGCGTTCCTCCTGCGCACCGGCGGTCGCTCCGCCACGAAACCACGATTGCGGAAGGGCGAACATACCGAGGCTCGGGGAGGTTGTGAGGCGGCGGGAAGAGCGGAACATGACGGACGCGTCCGCTGCCGCTGGCAGTGCCGAGCAGAGGAGAAGAGCCGCCATGGCCGCTACGAGTAGCGCCGACGCATGATGGACGGTCATGGCTGACACGTCAACACCCAGCGGCTGGGTCTTGCTTGTAGGGCTGCCGCCGTGACCTCCTCGTCACGGTGACGGCTCTGCGGAGTGGCGACAGCTGCTTGAGATAGCGAAGATCGAAGTCTCTGCACGAGAGATTGCTGTGAAAAGACGAGTGCATGGCTGAAGTCGCCGCAGCTTTGTACTCGGAGTGAGTCCAACTTCGACCTCAGTCAGATTGACCGCCTGCAGCCCGTCGTTTCGTGAGTGTGAGTGTGAGTGATTGGTTGACCACGACGCGGCGTCGTGGGATGCCGGCTGGTCGAAGCGCGCGACGATCGCGGGCGAGAGCTTTCAGTTGTATGGCCTGCTGATCTAACCATGCAGCATTTACATACTGACCTGGAATGTGCGAGGCGGATAAGTGGGGTCAGAGTGGGGTCAGAGTAAGGTTTGTTTTCCCCCTTTGACGGAGACGGGTGATTTCCCTCATTCGCCCAGACCTGGTTTGACTGGGTGACGAAATAAAAATAAAATATTTCGGACTGTTGCACCTTCCTGGAGGGAATAGTTCTTTATGAGCATACTACAGCTCAGCCATCTGCATGGACGACTTTCTAACTCATAATGCTTGAAAGTCGTTTCAAGAGGAATCCGGTTGAGTGCCCTGGATTTATCTGGGTGCTATTTGTTTTGCTATGATTCTTTGTGTAGGTGGAAGTGCTGGCGGGAAAGCTGTCAGACGGTAGTTCTTGTTGCTGGGCCGGCTAATTCTCGCATCGACATTCCAAATTCCATCCAGTACTGACCTTCATTCCAGTTCCGCGACGCGAGACACTCCCTTCAGTCATAGCCGTTGCAGTCACAACTCAAATCATCTACGACTACAGTACGATATTGTTACCGGTGGAACTGGAGGAGGCTAGGATGGCACTAAAGAGGTCAACATAAAGCATGACATAACATTACACTATATAGTGTTACGGGTGCAATCTAGAGAGGAAGAAAGAACCGAACAAATCGAGGAAAATAATATCATGCGAGGGAAGGTATTGTAATTGTTGCGATCAGAAGTTGATCAGCCTCAGAATCACCTCAGGAAGGTTCGCACACTCCTAGTCTAGTGGTGGTGGGCCCTTGACCTCAATAGCAGAGTGAATGTAAATGCTTGAGATAATAAAACATGCAGTACAAGGAATATAAATAAGATTACAAGGGGATACCAATCGACCTAGCTAGCCATGTACTCTAAGGGGTACATTCCCTTATTGCAGCGAAATCCAACCGTGCGACTTCAGACAGTTACGAAACTGTTCGGGCAGAATCCTCGCCACTGCTGCTGCCTGATGCTGTCTGCCCGATGGTCCAGATCCTTTCGTAACCGTGTGACTCTTCCTGTCACTTCCGCCTGTTCGTCTTCATTCTCGGTAGTGCGTGCTTCGATTGCTGCGGTGAGGAGTGTACAATAATGTTTCAATAATCACTATTCGTAACACCCCCCTTCACTCCTGGCCGTAGCGAGTCTTGACCCGCTTGACTACCCCGCTGAGTTCGGAGCAGTGCTGGTACTGCTGACGTGACAGCTTATTCGTGAGGAAGTCAGCTGCCATGTCACCCGTCGGGCAGTAGCTTAGGTCAACCTTGCCTTTGTCAACTTCGTCCTTGACGAAGAAGTACCGCAGCGCGATGTGTTTGGTCCGATTGACGAATCCCGGCTTGTTCGCGATCCTGATCGCGCTCTGGTTGTCGCAGTGCAGGCGAAAGTTCGTCGAGGCTGGAATTTTCGCCTCCTGCAGCAGCTCCTGAAGGTAGAGGACCTCGCGAACGGCTGCTATTGCTGCGATGAATTCGGCCTCCGCTGATGACAGGGCAACCAGCTCCTGTTTCTGTGAATTCCAGGAGATGGGGCCGCTGGGCTCGAGACGGAAAAGGAAGCCTGTCCTGGACCGTCGATTGTCAGGGTCAGCGGCGTGATCGGCGTCCACGTAGCCGATGAGGTTGAAGGATGAAGTTGGGATGGTGGAGTAGCAGAGCCCGATGCTGGGCGTGGAGATGAAGAACTGGAGCGCCCGCTGGAGATCTAGTAGATTCTCAGCCGTTGGTTTGCGAGAGTACTGAGCCAACTGGCTCGCGATGTAGGAAAGGTCGGGCCTGCAGGTAACAGATGCAAAGAGCAGGCATCCCAACTGCTGCTGGTAGGTGTGAAGCCCAGCAGGGGACAGGGCTTTGTTGTCAGGCTTGTGGTTGGGTCCTGGAGTGCGGTAAGGGGTGGAGAGTGGTGCAGGCGCAATGTTGAAGCGCTTGCTAAGCTCCTCTGCATACTTCGCTGCTGAGAGATGAATGGCTTCCGGCGAGTAGGTGATGTTAAGCCCGAGAAACTGCTTCACGTCATGGTTGCAGGTGATGTCGACGCGCCCTGCGAGGTTTTTCTCGAATTGCTCAAGCAGCTCGTTGCTTGACCCTGTGTAGAGGAGGTCGTCGACGTAGACCGTGAGTAGGATGTATTCGCCGCGGAAATCGCGGCGATACATCCCAGGATCGTGAGGCAGCTGCTTGAACCCGATTTCAAGCAGTATGTTGTGCAGGTACTGCTGCCAGAGTCTCGACGCCTGTTTGATCCCGTAAAGGGACTTCCGCAGCTGGCAGACCCATGAATCTCCTTCGCCGTATGTGTGCGGCTGCTCCACGTAGATCACTGCATCTACGAGCGCGTACAGGAATGCGTTCTTAACATCGATCTGTCGGAGCGGCAGATGTCGTGCGGCTGCGATGGCGAGGAGTATCCTGACGGAGGTGTGACGGCTCACCGGCGCAAACGTTTGATCGAAGTCAATCCCGTGCCTCTGGTCGTAGCCGCGTACTACCCAGCGCGCCTTGAAGCGCTCGATCGTCCCGTCAGCTCCGGTCTTCACGCGGAAGACCCACTTGCCGAAAAGGATCCTTCTCCCCTTCACTGCTGCACGGTCGACGAGTACCCAGGTGTCGCGTGACTCGAGTGCCCTGATCTCCGCATCCATTGCCTCGCGCCACTCCTTGCTGTGAGGTCCCGTGAGTGCTTGTCGTGGGTTCTTAGGCTCGATGACGCGCGGCGTCGTTGAGGTAGCGGCATGGAGCCCGAGGAGTTGCATTCCGGTGACGGTGCTGTCGTGGCGATGCTGCGGGATGACCTCCTGCACATCGTCGTCGTCACTTTCTGGTTCTGGTGGGGCTGATGGTGCTGTTCCTCCGCCGTTTCCGCTCCCGCTTCCTCCTGTTGCGCCTCCTGCTGCGCCCGTTCCTCCTTCTCCTGAATCATCGTCGTCGTCGTCGTCGTGTTGATCGCCTCTCGTGAACTCGCCTCTGGGGTCCTGCTCCAGAATTGCTGCTGCGGCTTCGTCCTCAGGTGAGGCGTAGCTGTGGCCGTCATTGGCGTAGACGCGGTTCGCGTTCGTCTGCTCGTCTTCGCTCCCGATGGTTGATGTCGGCGGGCTATATTGGACCATGCACCCCCACACGCGGAGCATGGATGTGTCACCCTTCCTCCCCGTCCACTTCACGTGCGGTGAGGAGTTGCCGGTGATCGCGGTGGTTGACAGCAGGTTGTGCACCCGTACGGCGTGATGCATTGCGTAGGTCCAGTAGATCGGCGGAAGCTTCGACTGCCTCATTAGCGCCCGCACCTTCGTCATGAGAGTGTGATTCGTGCGCTCTGCTACGCCCTGCTGCTGGTGTGCATAGGGGAGGGAAATGTGATGCTCAATCCCCTTTTGCGCAAGGTAATCCTGCAGCTCCTTGCTCCTGAACTCCGCCGCGCCATCGGACTGCCAGATCTTCAACTTCTCCCCAGATTGCCGCTGCGCGTGCGCCAGCCACAAGCGGAATGCCTCGTATGCCCTGCTGCGTGCTTCCACGTTTATGACCCACACGTGGCGTGTTCCAGCATCGACGAAGGTGAGCGTGTAGAGCTCGTCGTTGATGCCGCAATGTCCTACGTTGAGAAAGTCACTGTAAACTTTCTCCAACTTGGCGTAGCGATTGGTTCCTGGCTCGAGCAAGGGGAAGGGCTGGTGACTCAGCGCGGCCTCGGGGCAGATGGTGCAGGTGTGCGGGTGAGTTCCGCCTCGTACTTCGGAGCCGTCAGGGCGCAACAGTGCGCCAGGTGCGAAGACGCCGGCCTCGATACAGTTCTTTAGGGTTACGTGCGAAGGGTGACCTAGGCGCTGGTGCCAGATGGCATCGTCGGCGCGAAAACCGGAGGTGCGCATGTAGCGCGCGAGTGCTTCTGCGGGGTCCTCATCAGGTGCCGGCTGCAGAGTCGGCGCTGCTTCTTCTGCTTCATCATCTTCGTTCGCCGTTGTTAACATTAGGGCGAGAAATTCCCTGTCGCGAATGATGGAGTAGGGGATGTTGGTGCCGGGGATCGTGCCAGGGACAAATGTCGGTTCGCGTGGTTCAGGGGCAGGTCCGTAGACAGTGCGTCGCGGGGTGGATGGCTCGTTGCCCCAGTCAATGGTGTCACAGGGGTCACTTCCTGAAGGGATGTCAGGTGGCGGTGGTGCTAATGCAGGGCGGCGAGGTGGGCGTCCAAGAGGAACAACAGGAGGTTCGACCTCAACTTGCGCTGTTTCTTCTTCCTCTTCCCCCCTTTGATCCTCGCGGAAGGCTCCCCAGCCGCTCGTCTCTCCGCCAGTTGCTGCGCCCCATCCGCCAGTATTGCCGCCGGTTGCGGCTCCCCAGCCGCCTGTGTCACCGCCGGTTGCGGCTCCCCAGCCGCCTGTGTCACTTGTTCCCCACCCGCCAGCGCTCCCCCACCCCCCTTCATTGGAGGCGCTCTCTTCTTCGCCCCATCCGCTCCAGGCGAATGTTCCGCGTGACTCTGCAAGGCTCCGTCGGCGAAGTTCTTCCGCTTCGCGGCGCGCCAGATCCTCCTCTTGTGCGACGGTGAGTTTCGTCGCAGGGTCGCGCTGATGAGGGTAGAACTCCAGGAATTTCTCCTGTGTGTAGGGCCGCGGATTTCCTTCCGCATCGAAGGTTCCGACGCCAAC